TATACCACTATTGAACATTTATTCCTTCTGCATCCTGGACTACTTAGCTTTGTTCTGTTTCTGCTTCCCTAAGATCATCAGCATCTTGAAAGCAAAGTCTTGACAAATAAATTTTTCCTGTAAAGAATTTGAATCCATTTCAATTAAACAAAGTAATGATGTAAGAGACAGAATGGGTTGCTGTGAAGTCTGGTAACTTTACATTTCAAAGGAGAGAACACAGGTGGGTTTTATTTGGTTGGTTGGTTTTGGTTTTGTTTTTGGTAGAGGGCAATGATTCTTAATCCTGGTTGCATATTAGAACAACCTACATAATTTTCTGAAAGTAGCAGTATCCAGGCCCCACCCTCAAAATTCTGATGTAAGTAGTCTGAAGTGGGGTGCAGACATTGGTATTTTTTCTTTTCTTTTTTTTTTTTTTTTTTTTGTGAGATCAGCCCTGAGCTAACATCTGCCAATCCTCTTCTTTTTGCTAAGGAAGACTGGCCCTGGGCTAACATCCGTGCCCATCTTCCTCTACTTTATATGGGATGCCGCCACAGCACGGCTTGCCAAGCAGTGCCTCGGTGAGCGCCCCCCTGGGGGGCCTCCGCAACGGAGCGCACGCACTTACCCGCTTGCGCCACCGCGGGCTGGCCCCCAGACATTGGTATTTTTTAAAAGCTTCCTTGTTGATCTCAACGAATAGACCAGGTTGAGAAGCGCTGGTGTAGAGATGAAACAGCTGATGGTGGAATTCCTGAATCCCATTTTCCTGACATTTATTTAAGTTTCTTTATTAGTATTTCTCATTTTCCTATCTCCTCAGTTTCCTAATTTATTTATCATCCTTTTGTAGTGTGTGCATTTTTGTGAGCCAACTCAAATTCTTTTGGGAATAGGCAGAATATAAATCATCAATTCACTAGAAGGATGAACCAGCAATCACCAGTCCAAGTGCCCCAATATACTAAGGTACTTCCATGGAATCTTAAGGAAAACATAAATTCTCAAAATAAGTTCTATTTCACTATGAACTTGTATCTTTATTTCACTAGCTGACTTGTTCTTTGTATCTCCCCCTCCCCCCAGCCCATGCCTCAAATGCTTCTTTTAGCAAATGGAAACAGCAAAAAAATAAAGGAAAGAAATAATAGGCATATATCAAAACTTCAAAAAGGTTGGATACCTTTAAAACTTGCTTAGTTTTACCAACTCTCTATTAATCTGAAATTCTGAGTGCAGAGCTTATTAATTTGTTGACTGAGCTCTTCATGAAGAGGGGAAACCCTACATTAGGATTGGATTATTGAAATAGCATAGACACAATTCTTTTAGGATCTGCAATTGTGAGATTGAAGTGAATAAAATTAAATCACATGGTTCAACCCATATCTTTGGTCAGAACTCCCTGTAATGTAGGCAAGTCTCTTGTTCCTAATTAAATATTACAGTGATCTACTATAACTTTATCTTAATGAAATGTGAGCAGTCATTTTAAGCAATTAGGGCACTATGAAATCTTTCCAATATAAGTAGAAAAAGTACATAAAATCTTCCATAATTGATCAGATTTAATTCCATAGCACCAAAATTTACTACTATAATTAATCAGGACATAGATGGGATGACAGCATTTTAAGCATTTCAAAATATAGTAAATATAAAAGATCACAATATCAACATAGCAAAAGCAAAAACTGCTATTCTTGAAACTTCGAAGTGTAGAAATACTCCATTTATTCCAGTTTATGTATTTAAATTCAATCTCTTCCTTATTTAGGTTGCACAGAACTTTTAATACCTGATGTTTTGGTTTCCTTCTTGGCTATACTTAAACATTATTCTAAAAACCTACCAGAAAATGAATCTTTTGAAAAGTTAATAAACTATATTTTTCAGGACAAAACAAAATAAAGAGAAAAAAAGGGAACCCTTTTCCTACCAGATAGCTCACATAGGCGTAAAAGCCCCAACTTGATGGTATTTCAGGGATGCTGGCAAATTATGAAGTTGCTGGAGATGTCACAACGTCTTTGTGCTATGGTCTCTCCATTTGTGAAATAGAAATGAAGGCATCTTCTACTTTCCTCTAGCTGATATGGAAGTTATGTGATATCGAACTCTATTCTTTCTGGTAAAGAAAGAAGAGAAAAGGAAGAATTGTCTGTAGTCATTAATCTACACAGTAGGAACTTCACAAATATATAAATTATATACATTAGGAATTGCCAGAGATTTTTAAACTTCATTAAAAACTTTCTGCAGTAGGTGCCAATTTTTTTGTATATCAGACATTATTTTTTAAATTACAGTAGCAAATTCAAAGATGGATTCATTTTCCCTCATGTGCTCCATCTCATAACCGCTGGGATACAGCACATGTCTGTTTCCCTGAATTGAATTTTTTTTTTTCTTAATTGGTCTCTCTGGATAATTCTACAGGATAAAGAGGAAAATAGTTTCTGGGATTAGTAACACTGAACAGGTGCAAAATGTACCATCGAAAACCTAGTTAAACCTCAAAGGTGGAAGCTCCAAATATAAATTAAATGAGAGACACATAGCCTCATCAGTGCCCATATGTTGGTCATCTGGGGATGCTCTTATCAGAACAATCTTTGTAAATGTAACAAGCCTGTTTCAATGCTACCCACAGCGTGAAGCTGATTTCTATTTTGCATTGTAATAGATTATACAGCTTCAATTTTCAGTGGACATGCCCTAACATATCGGGTTTCCCAGGAGACACAGCAGTGACATTGACAAGTAGGGACAGAGGGCTAAGGAGTGTCATGCAATATTTAAAATGTCTTTTCTTGACAACCAGAAAACTGTGATTACCAAATAGGATGATTCACCACTTCTAGCAGTCAAAAATAATAGTTTCTCCTAATAGAGGCCTGTTACAGAATGACCATCTAAATGTCCAGTATCTGAAAGATATGTGTGTTCATATGTTGATTATAAGATAAAATATTTAACTTGTTATATATGGAAAAAAATGTTGCTGTACAGCTTTGCTTTTTACTGTGAGAAATAAAGTAAGGGAGAATGTAGCAGTAAGAACAAACTCAGCACTGCACCACAGGACCTCATGATAATACCTGCCAATGTTGTGTCACCTTTGCTAGAATGGTCTCCAAGTAGTCACTACACTAAGCTGGAAACTAGTTTGCCCAAGACTGAGTGGTTTTCTGGGACTCTGAACTTTCACTGTAAGATCAAGACAGTCCCAGGCAAACAGGGACTGGTTGGTTCACCTACTGGAAGCTTTTTACTTACCATCAGTGCACACTTTGATCTGAAATAGTGTAAAACCATATATCAACTACCCAACAACTGACAACTCTGCTGGGTCACTCTCGTGGTAGAATTTAAAGAAAGACAAAGTAATACTAAAGTTTTCAATGTTTCAACTTAACTATTATATTTTGGCAAAAATGTTAAAGAATTTCCTCGCCACTTTCTAAATATTCGTACTGGAGTTTGGGCACCATGATCTCTGAGATGATTGGGAAGACTTGGCAATGTGGTCTTACATCCGACAGAAGGGAAACGGAAAAGGTATCGGGCTGGGTTTGACTAATCTCAACTTAGATTAAATTGTTGATGTTACAATCTGAGAGTAATTTAAGACCAGATATCACAGTCTTGAAAACAGTACAGCATTAGACTAAGATATCCCAACAGGATTTTCCTTCTGGATGCCATGGGACAAGGTCACCATTAGGAGTACTGAGTACCCTGGAGGGAGAGGGAATTCCCATGGTCAATCACCTTGCAAAGTGGCAGCTCCAGGACAGAGAATGAAGTTGGAGAGGGGAAATGTGAAATCTAAATCACAGACACGTCCAGAACTCTCCTGGAGAGAAGGTAGTAACACCGATGAAAAGAAAGCCGACCAGGAACTACGCAGAGAGGCACACTGTGAGGTGCCTTAAGGGAGCATGTACTCTGAGTAGGACCAGAATTAGCACTTTCCCAGGATGTTCATCTTCTGTGACCCCTAAAATCTTTAGTAAACTCTTGTAAACACCTGCAGGTTGGTCCCAGCCGGGCTATGAAAAGTTAAGGGAAAGGGCTGTTCCCATACTTGGGATGAAAGGTTAGAGCAGTTTCCCAATTTTTTTTTTTCATTATTGACCCCCTAAGGAGCCTTGTTAGGCATTTTTTCCCCTAATTGCCTCCCTCCCCATGAAATTTTAATACACAGATAGACCGTGTATCTGTTTATGTACTATGTGCATTTCTGTGCTTTATACATTAACAGAGTAAGATGACTAAGATGTTTTCACCCACCAAGAACCAATTTTCACCCTGTAGATGCAATATCACCTCCACTGAGAATGTACCGGTTACAGAGATGGGATAATAGCTTGAAAGACATCGTGTTCTCAGAGTATCAACAGGTGACCTACAGTGGAGCAAGTAATAACTCACCGGGCAGAGTAGAGGTCAGAAGGCTGATGAGACCCCAGAAGACAGCCTGGATTTGTATAGCACACAAACATCCCCAGGTAACAGACTGGATTCCCGGCAGTTGAATAGAATGCCAGTTCTGAGTCATCATAATTGGTTATTAAAGGAAATTTCATTTTGTAGTTATAGGCTGGTAAGGCCAGGGAACATTTGGTTTACAAATGTAAATAAAAAATATTTTGACAAAAATTGATGAAGAAGATGGGGCTTAAAGCTCTCAGTGAAGACAGAACATCATATACACTCAACTGTACCAAAAAAAGCATGTATGATGAAATACAGAGAGAACATAATAATTAGGATGATTAGCATTTCTGAAAACAAACATAAAATTTGAAATTATTAACCAATAACAATGTTGTAGTGTGTCTCAATGGCTAAAGTTGGACTGGTGTTATAGTAAAGGATACCAGAGACAATAGCATAAAAATCAAAATGCACGTAATGACTTTTCTGTCAATAACAGACCGCATATATGACAGTGGTCCCATAAGATTAGTACCGTATAGCCTAGGTGTGCCGTAGGCTGTACCCTCGAGGTTTGTGTGAGTACATACACAACGATGAAATCACCCAACAATGCATTTCTCAGAACGTATCCCTGTCGTTAAGTGACACGTGACTGTATTATAAACTCTATCCACCTTCAGTTTTTTGCACTGGAGACTATGTTGCCTGCTCTGCAGAAAATAGCATGTTGCATAGTGGGAAATGGATTTTGGTCAGGAGATCTGAGCTCTGTTTCCAGCTGCACTACCCTAGCCTCCTGGCTCTTCACTTGCTGGCCATCAGTCCCGTAATCTGCAACGTGCGGCGGCTCAAGTAGAAGATCTCTAATATACTCTCACCTCTAACATTATTTGAAGATATAAAGTTACATGTTTTGCTTTTCTATGCCCCAAAGCAGCTAATATTTGATGAGCAATCCAACAGTCAGCCATTAAGTATTACTAAGTATCTCCTACCTTCCACATTGTACTGAATGCTGAGACAGGGCTGGATAAACACAATTCATTCAATTGGATCTCCTTTTCCTACTCACAACTATATAAAATTTATACGTAATTAAAGGTAAGACTTTAAAAGCAAGTAATGCAGGAGGAAGTAATGCAGTGACTTAAATTTATACCAAGATATAAACATCAGATCCGTTCCTGAGGGTAGAGTTTGGCAAAGAGAAAGGAAAGAAAGACCAGGAGACTGAGAAACCTTGACGACGAGGCAGGACATGTGAGTAAAGGAACAAGCAGCCAGAAGCCAAAGCTGTTGTTGCTGCTGCTATCGTTGACAGAATGCACTTGGATACACCCTGGGAACCCCAATAAGCTAGTGTGACAACACTTTTGGTTTGGGTTTCATTATATTAAACATACTTATCTAGAGATAGACTTTAGCCACCATTCTAGTATGGAGAGAAAATGACAGGTGTTGGCTTCAACTGGTTAAAACATAGAGCACTGAGTCTATGACTGACATGACCTTCAATAAAATGGAATACTATATCCAAATTGACAAAGTTTATGATACAATATTCTTCCACATATTTTATCATTTCAAACTTTTTTTGTTCTTATATAGCACTAGTGAAAATTGTGTAAAGTAGAAAAGAGGAATTTGCATTTGAAACCAAAAGTATCAAATAACTAGAGAAATTATTTTTGACTTGGAGTATTTTTATTGGGAAGTACACCACTGGCCAGATTTGAGTTAAAAAAAAAAAAAACAACAACAACAACAAAACCCTGATTCATTTTGTTATAATCAAAAGCAGCAAAAATGTACTAACCCAGCTTTTGTACAACTCCAGAGGGTAACTATGGGGAAAATACATTTACTTCGTTTTTTTCTGTGGAATGAAGTCTGCAGACCACCATTATAGCCCATCTTCTATAACGTCCTCCCATATCCAGAACTACTTGCTGGTGCCTCAGTCCATGCCCTGTGTTCACAGAGCACCGTATGTATCTCTTATCACTTCGTACTACCATTAGTCACGTTAAGTGTCTGTTTCCCTGTGGACTGTGAGGTCCCCAAGGGTAGGGACGGTGATTATTTGTCTTCCCCGGCACCTGGCACAACATCTGTGTAACATATATGTTCAATTACTGTTAATTGAATGAAAGTAAACTACTTTTATTTTCAGTGAACTTCTAATTATGTAAAGCAGTACAGCTATAATGAATGCCAGAATCTTAAAGGTAACAAAGCAGTGTATCTCTGTTAGAAGTGAAAATCTTTTAGAAATTAAAAAAAAGAAATGAATTTTAGCCAAATAAATATTTTCTGATTTATATAAACACAAGATGTCCTTAGATTACTCCGAGTTTTCCATGCCTTCTTTTATGTAAATATGTGGGAAAATGGAGCCTCCTGTTACTTTTTATTTATCCTATTTGGTTTTAATTAGCAATGTTAACATAGAACAAAACATACAAACTCTGGAAACAGCTAGATGATAATATTTTTCATTTTTTATCCCCATATTTGAAGGCCCGTAGATACAGCCACTTGGTGTCTAAATATTTATTTACAAAACGTCAACAGACAGGAATAAGTGTAAACAGAAATGCTAGTGATTTTAATGAGAACTAGCTCTGAAATCTAAGATTAACTAGGTCTCAAATACTGCAGATAAATACTTATTCTTCTGGACCAATACTTATCTGAATCCAACATCAAACATCGAGCTATGACAAAATTTCTTATGACATTTTCCTGAGCAATGTCAAAAAAAACAAATATAATGCAGGACAAATATTAACTCTGGTTCTGCTCATCTCCTCTCACTTGCCCAGTTCTATATAATTTATCTGCTGTAGTGCCCATGGATAGATTTCACACACTATTGTGCACTAAAGAACTATGATACATTTTCGAAGAATTGTTGATAATGCTAGCTACATTGTTAGACAAGAAAATAACAGGCTTAGGATGGCAAGTCATTTCACAGATCTCAAGAAGGTCATATTGAAGTAAAGGATCTGTTAAATTATTTTGGAATCTGTTGATAATTATATAAAGACTCAGTCAGTTTCTGAATATTAATGTATTAATGTATTTTTAATAAAGTTGTAATCTGCTTTGTTTTAAATGTGTTTGTAATTTACAACTCTACTTCCACGAATACTTGAAGTGGTTCATAAATAAAATGCTTACGTGAGACTGTTAACTATCAAGTCAGTGAGAAGCACTAAGCAGTCTGACAGTGCACTGGGCAATCTGGGGAGTGATTTTGCCCTTCAGGAGACATTTGGCAATGTTTGAAGACATTTTTGATTGTCACAATTGGGGTGGAGAGAGCTGGGCAGGTGGATGGCCGCTGGAATGTAGTGGGTAGAGGCCACGGATGCTGCTAAATGTCCTGCGATGCACAGGACAGCTACTCCCCCCACAACAGAGATTTATCAGGCCCAAAATGCCAATAATGCCAAGAGTGAAAAACTGTGATATAGAAAAAGGAACAATTATTCATCAGAAACCAGGTATAATTAATATAACTAAGCATTAAAGTTATCTTTCAGCTTCTTGGCTTTCAAGTTTGGCTAATGAAAATTTTGCAAAGAATGTAGAAGTGTTTCCCATACACCCGTTTTTTGTTTTATTTGTTATTGTTTTTGGATCCTCCACAAAACTAAAAACTGAAGATTAGTTTGTCAGTTATGAAAATACTAGGGAGCCAAACTAAAATATTTTAAGGGTAGAACTTAGTAAGCATATAGTGATGGTTCTCGAACCTTAGTGTACACAAGATTCACCCAGGGAGCTTATTTAAGATACAATTCTAGGACTTCTTGTTGAGAGATTATTATTTAGTGGGCATCAGCGAATAGACCATATTCTAAGAAATATTAATTTAGTGGAATGAATTGTTAATGTAAACCTTGGATGAGCACTTCCCAAACCTGGACCATCAGAATTATCTGGAGAATGTTTCCGAATATAAAACATATATGTATTGGTCTTATTCCCAGAAATTCTCATTCAATAGATCTTGGAATAGGACTCACACAACTATGTATATTTTTAAGCCCCCAGGTTAATTCTATTGATCACCCATGGATTAGATTTGCCACCATAGTCTATTATTGTAATATATCACTTGGCCTAAATTCATTTTTGACAGAAGTTAGATGAAAGTCTATTCCAAACTGAATTTCTGAACAGTGCCTGGGCTGGGTGTAGGACAGGAGTTTGATTTATATTCAAGCCCCAGTTGCCCAGCTCACTAGTTGGGTGATCCTGAATACTTTAAGTTCTTCGAGTTTCCTCTTTGGTAAAATGGGAATTATGATGCTCACTTTTCAATGAGATTTTGTGGATCGATTAGTAAAGTGCCTGGCACAGAGTAAGCACTCAATAAACAAGTGTGAGCTTTAAAGCAAAATGGATATCTAGACATATATAGATAGAGTTAATATATATGGATATCTATATCTATGTATTAGAAATCAGTTATTCTGGCATCAATATTAATAGTATTCATAAAAAATTAAACAGTTTAGAATTATATCCTTGCCTAAAGAGTTATACCCCTCCATAGAATCACTGTCAGAATCACTCCCTAGAAAATACCCCAACATATTTACAAGTCATTTTGCATGCTTCAACTTCAGCACAGACTGTGGAAAAATGATGCAGTGGTTAGATTCTAAAATGGTCCCTAATGATCCCTGCCTCCTAATATTCGCAGCCTTTTGTTATCCCTTCCCTTTGAGAGTGAGCTGGACTTTTTGACTCATTTCTAATGAACAGAATATAGCACAAGTGATGGGATGTCATTTCTTAGATTAGGTTATAAGAAGATTGTGGCTTCTATCTTGAGTGCCCTCTCTTGCTCCCTCCCTCACTTGCTCCAGTGGAAGACAGCTGCCATGTTGTGAGCTGCCCTATGGGGGGGTCCAAGTGGCAAGGAACTGATGTCTCTGGCCAAAAGGAAGTGAAGATCTGTCACCTGCCAACAGCCACACGAGTGAGCTTGAAAGTGGATCATCCTTCAGTCAAGCCTTGAGATGATAGCAGCCCAGGTTCACCCCTTGATTGCAGCTTTATGGGATACCTTGAGCCAGAGGCATCCGACTAAGCTATGCCTGAATCCTTGACGCACAGAAACTGTGAGATAAATATTTGTTGTTTTAAGCTGCTAAGAATTGGGAAAATTTATTTCACAGCAATACATAACCAATACAAATGACTTTGACGTTCTGCTTACAAATTCAAGGATGTGAGTTTAACTTTTGAGAGAAGAAAGGCCACCACGAAAAAGAATGTGTTTCAAAATATTCTCGGATGAAAGCAAAGAACCATCATAGTAATTCATATCATTTGGCATGATATGAACTTTATTATTCACAAATGTGAAACATAAGAGCTGTATCATAATTATCAGGTCCAGGCTCAGCTGCAGATACAGCAAATATGGAAGTTGCTCGTAATAATGTGGAAGTAGTGCTCGTAAGTGGCCACAACACAAGAAAATAGTTGATTCCAAAAATGGCATATGACTGGTAAAGATTACAGTGATTTCTCAGGAAGTCGATAGCCAAATTGTTTGACATTAACATGGATATTTTGAGATCTTAGTGATCACAGAAATTCTAAATTCTATTCATTTAGTGTCAATAAAAATCCTAAGGTAATCACAGAAGAATTTTCAATTTGAATAAGAAACTAGTTCACGACATTTGGAAATGGCTGATATGAAATCTTTGACTAGGAAATCTTTCCGGTGTCTTTCCGGAATTGGTTTCGTTGAGAGCATAAACGAATGTGTCACTTACCAGGCCACTTGGGGCACTCTTTCAAGTCGTGCCTTCTCTTGTGTGAAATCACAAATTCTCCATTGATCATCTGAACCATATGGGCTGCTGTTCCAGAAAGTAAATCTGCACCTACTGACGGGAATTTTAACTAAGCTATCCTTGAGTATGCCTTATTATCTTTGTACAAATTGTCAACTGAAAGGATGATGGAGATTGACCAACAAGATCTGGCTGATTTCCTCCTATAACTTCATGTTCAACTAGAAGAGCCAATGTCAGTACTTCAACCACCATTTCAGATTAGATAAGGTCTTAAAAGACAACAGGCCAGGGCCGGCCCGGTGGTGCAAGCAGTTAAGTGCGTGCGTTCCACTGCGGCAGCCCGGGGTTCACCGGTTCGGATCCCGGGTGCGCACAGATGCATCGCTTGGCGAGCCATGCTGTGGCGGCGTCCCGTATAAAGTGGAGGAGGATGGGTATGGATGTTAGCCCACGGCCAGTCTTCCTCAGCAAAAAGAGGAGGATTGGCAGATGTTAGCTCAGGGCCGATCTTCCTCACACACACAAAAAAAGACAACAGGCATATATTCTGGATACGGCATGGGTACACCCATAATGTTGCTCAGTTTTAACATGAGGTGTCATCTTGTTTGGAATGTTTGACACTGAACTACAGGTGGTTTCTTCCAGTCATTAGAAGTAGAGGTTTTGAAGTCAGACTGGTCAAACTACCTTTCTGTGTTTCCCAACTCTAATATTTAATCTCTATTTGAGTTTTGACATTACCTCACTTATCTAAGTTGTAGTTTTTTGGTCTGTAGAATGGGATGACTAATAGAACCTACCTCATATAATCATAAGGAATAAAATCCAAATAATATATTTATTATGTCTCCAACAAAGTAGCTCCTCTATAAATGCAAGTTGTCACAATAAAAGTAATAATTATTCTGTGTCATCTCAGATCAGGTGTATACGCGAATTGGTGTACTTTCCTTTTTGACTAAGTGTGAGTTGTTTTCAGAGTGCTGATGGAAGATCACTTGGAACCTAAAACTTCATGCAGCTAAAGGATCATGGTGACAGAGTGATGAAATTCACAGAATTTATTAGACATACAAAAACACTCAAAGTTAAAATTGAAAGTCTCCTTCTGAAAGATGTACTAGAGAATGTACTCCAGTAAAATAAAAATGAATCCAGGAGAAGTAGATGCAATAAGCAATGGCACGCAAAGACTAGTAAAACTTTTTAATTCTAAATAAGTATAAGTTTTTAATCTGTGTATTTAACGATACATTTAACAAGTTGGTTCCCTGCCTTCTCCAATGTAATTTGGTTCTTTCACATGGGAAGAGAAAAGATATGAGCCAATGTAGTTTATGAAAAACAATTGAATATAAATGTTTTTCTTGTTTTTTTAATGACGTAAAATTTAAAAAGGAAAGTTAACCAGTACTCTTGCCAGTTCTTGAGATGACTACCTTTAATATTTGTGATGATTTTTTCATGCTTCATGTGTAATTTTAAATAACTGGAATTTATATCATACATGCTATGTAAAAATAAATTTCAGTAACCATTTTGGAAAAAAAAATCCATAGAATAACAGTATGAAATGTAGGAGGGAGAGATGAGGGAAAGGGAAAAGAAATAAAAGAATATCAAGACTCCTTTTCAGAAAGACAATATAGGTGCTGGTGAAATGTTGACATTGATTATAAAGTCCAAATTAAATTATGTGTTTATAAAAGTTAAGAATAAATACTAGAAGAATAGTAATATTCTAGGGTATAGCTACATACAAGAAGAAGTTTAAAAGGTAAAGGTCATATGTGCAATATTATACCAATAAATATGAAATGAAATGCAAAATTTATTAAGAAAATTTAAATTATAAAAACTGGCACAACATAAGTAGAATAACTGATTAGACCATCATCCATCGAATATATTGAAATCAAAATTTAAAATATATGCCTGACCCTCAAAAAGTACTAAGTCCTAGTTCCTTTACAGGTGATATCTACCAAAATAAAATATCTACCAAAATAAAAATTCAAACAACGTATTCATCAGATTGTCAAATGTTAAAAGGTTTAATGATATCAAGAGTTTATGAGGGTGTGAGGAATGTGATACTCTCATACAATTTAAAATTTACAGTGCTCATAACACATTTCCCGGGAATAATTGGGCACCTACCCTACAAAGGTACTTACTATGCCTGGCAAGAATGTAGCATGCGTAAAAATGTTTGCTACAGAAAGGTAGAAACAGCCTAAGTATCTCTTAGAATTATCAATATTTTAGTATTAAGAAGCAGTTAAAAAGAAGGATTTGGACTAACATGGTTAAATGTCTAAAAATCTTTTATTGAGTTGTAAAAGCACGTTGTAGAACAGTATATGTA